ATGAGAGCCTTCACTTCACATGTGATGTCTGTAGAATGGAAAACGCGGGTTTCCACGGCGAGCATTTCAGCAGCAGGATTTTTCCATGGGAGCCTTCACTTCACATGTGATGTCTGTATAATGGAACAGGCGGGTTTCCAAGGTGAGCGCTTCAGCAGCAGGATTTCTTCGTGGGAGCCTCCACTTCATGCGCAAACATGTTTGTAATATAGAGAGTGAAACACGTGGTTCGCCGCGACTGGTTCCATGAGGCCTCCCGGGCAGCAGCTGCTTCATGTGTATCTCTGCAGGAAGCTTTGGCGTCATCCGCTTGCTCCTGTCTGTGAAGTAGTTGGTTTTGCTTCCCACCTTCCCCCTTTCGACTGCGACAAGTTTCTTCTGGCCAGGATTTTTGTTTTTGACTCCGTTCGCAAGTTTCTAGTCTCAGGATTGTTCTGCACATGGGCTGCTCCGCAGGAAAGCCGCGGCACATCGCGGCACGTCGCGGCACATTCCACGGGGGCTCAAAATTCATGTGCCTTTACATATTGTCAAGCAATCAATACGCGGCACGTCCAAAAACAACGCTCCGGGCAAACGCCGCGGCACATCGCGGCACATCGCGGCACGTTGCTGTTTTCGGTGGGGCTTCTGTAACAAAATCGAAAAAATGCAGGGATCAGATTTCAGGCAGGGACCGCTTGCAGGACTTTGGGGTGAGCCAATTGAAGCACAAAAGCACAACAAAAAGACATGGGGAGAAAAGCGGATGTGAGCCCATGGAGGCCCAAGCACCGCGCCTTCAAGAACTGCATTGCGGACAGAGTCGGCCAGCTTGCGGGCGGAAGCATTCTCGCAGCGTCTCTGCCGCGCTTGCTGCTCTCACATGTGCACGACGTCTTCCAGTTGGGCCTGCGAAAGCCAACGGAGTGCTCAGCCCTGCGGCAGCACTTGCCCCGCGGCGATCGCTGCGTTGTAAGGTGCGTGCTTCAGCTGGCGCGTCGTGGTGGACGCTCAGCACCAGCATGAAGACTGCCACGGAGCTGCACGTGCGGAAAGCTTTGCAGCCGTGCTGGCTTTGGGAGACGGATCAATCTCTGCTGTGCCTGGAGTAAAAACAAGTCGCAGCGCTTGCGCAGCCGTGCCGCGTAAACAGCGCGGCTGTATAATTACATAATTGTCGCGCACACTGCATTTATGCAACTGATGTATAAATATATTTGTATATATATATAAACTGTTTCTAGTCAAGCTTTGCTTTTGCCGAAATGCGCGGCTCAGCCGCGCAGTCACACGAACCAACTGCACTCCAACAACACTCAGAACAATCGAAATAAACGCATATATAAACCTCACCGTTTACGCATGAAAAAACCTTTTTGTTTTCACAAGCATGCTTTTAACAGCTTTTTTCAAGCCACCATGCTTTTGGCAGAAATGGCCCATTTTCATATAACTAGAATAACTAAAACAACTAAAATACGTAAAGTGATAAGTCAAGTTAACTGCTGCTAGCTGATATAGTAGACTATAACTGCACGACTGTTAACGAACCCATGTTGTAGGGTTTCTTAGGTGGTGCCTAAGAGGGTTTCGTCCATTCACGGTATCAATAGAGACTTCGGACTATGTATCCCAACCATTCGAGGACGCGGCGCACTCTGCGGCCTGGAGCTCAGGGGCATAGGTAGTTGCCCACTTTTCGGCTCGAGTGGTAACGGCAGCTTTGAGTGCGCGTTGCTTGTTGCTCCCCTTCCAACGTCAACCAAGCGGAGGTGGCATGTCGCCTTGGCTTAATAGGCCATTGTAGTGACAAGCAGCACATTTCGTCTTGTTGCTTGGCCCATTCCGGGAAGTGAGTTGACGTGTTCCCCTGGTGCCACTGGTCTTGTTGCGATGCCTCGATTTTGCTCGAGCAAATCGAGCAAGGCCCGAGCAGAGAGCCTCCACGCTGAGCTCACGGACCTGCGTGCGGCGCTAAAGGGAGTTTCCAGGTAGGTGTTTGGTTCGAGTGAGGATCTTCCATTTGCTTATGAATGCAGTTTATGGTTTTCCCTATTGGTTTGAAAGAGAATCTATCACTAATTTAAATATGGCTACTTTTGTCAGGGGACTTCAGCAAATGGAGGGGATACTCATATTGTCTTCACCTTCGTTTCAAGGGAAACCGAGAGAGACGTAACGGTGTTTTTTTCCGTGCCTTGCTACTTGCACTTGTGTTTTCTTCCCGCAACCTTGAGACCTCACATGGCTGTGTGTCAAAACCAATGGGATCCCTTTTGGTTGGTAGGGGAATTCACCACCCATTTTAGGCTTCCTATTTTAGTGGCTTTATTGGGATGTTCACTGGGGGACCGGGCTTTTGACCCATGGCCACATCAGCCTTTGAAAAGGCGACATCACTCGGCCAGCTCTCGAGGCGTCAGCCTGCAGCAGCGGGAGGCCTTCCTGGCGCAGGCAGCGATTGGGTAAAGCGCGGAGTTGCAAACTCTGCGGATTCCTTGTAAGGCCCCAAGAAGGGTAACTAGGTCCCGAGTAGTGCCCTTTTACCTTTTTTTTGGGTCCAAACATGGTTCTTGTTAGGAGCATTTTGCATTGCTGATTGTGGTTAAGTGGGAACTCCAAATCCACTTCACTGCCAAAATTTAAGTTTTTGCTCCCCTTCCAACGTCAACCAAGGCCCCAAGGGTATGATCGGTCAAGAACACACAGAGAGACACACGCACAATCATAATGTTGGTCACGAGGGCCCAGAGTATTCCGAGCAGAGGTGCTGGATTTCGTCTGAAATGACAATTTGTGTGAAAGCCGCTGGAGAATGCCTAAGCGGCAAACAAAGAGTTGGAATCTGTCTTTTTGTCCGATTCACTTGGGAAGCCGACATGCCCGCTTGCCGCCATGCCAACTCTGGGTGACTTGCTTTTTGTTGTTGTTTTGTTGTTGCTTCTTTTCTTTTTTCTTCATTTATTTGTTTTGTTGGAGGGGTGTGTGTGTGTGTTATGATGCGCTGTGGCTTGCACAAATTTCATCTATTGCCATTTGGGGAACTCCAGCGCCGGAGCTTTGGGGCATTGAGGCTAGTTGTCGTGAGGCATTTTACAGCGTTCTGGAACGTCTAAATCAGTCTTTCATGGCATGTCAAAAAGTCTGAATTCCTTTCTCAAGTCGGGGTTCCCACGGGTTCTACGTCGAGCTTATCTTTCCTCCTTGCTGCCGCTTGGCGCATTCAAGACCATACTGTACCAGTTGAGTCATTGCCGCATTTTGATGATGAATCATTGGTTCTTTGCTTGCTCAACGTATTCAGACACGTCAAGCAGAGTGTTGCATGAACGGACAGTTCGAGCTGAATTCTACTGGATACTGGCAGCTTGCGCACTTTTTCACATTTGGATCCGCAATCAAGCAGTAAAAGACAAATAATAGACTGCCGACATGTGAATGCTTCAGGTCACATGAGCGCGGAGCTCAAGATTCGTTGTAGCTGGCCACTACGACCTCGTTAGGGTCGCAAGTGCGCTCATTTCAAGATGAAACTTAGTGGGCAACTTCAACATTGATCCTAGTTGGCCCATGTTTCAAGCGCTTAGAGTTGCATGAGCTCGCTGCTTTAATCAGCTGGTGATTGTTTTGCAAGCCTCGCAACAAGAGTTGTGTGGGGCAGGAGGGACCTGTGCGTGAGGGACCAGACGTGGATTTCCACGCTTCCGTGATGCTGCATGGATGTGACAACGTGGCTTCTTTGCTAGTCTCACTGGAACATTCTCAAACCCTGTCGCCGTAGCGGTGCAGTACAGTGAATTGAACCTTCAATATGTTTTCTTTGGGATGCGGGCGTTGCTGCAGGTTTCCAGGTACTAAACAAAGCGGGCATCATCATTATCCACAGGCATTTGTTCTACATATGGATCCCCCTGTTTTTTGTTTCCATGTTTTTGCGCCCACTCGCAGAAACCTGAGGTTTCAGGTTTGAGCTGATCCTCAGAGGTTTGGGGGTGTTTGACTCTCCAAGTTGCCACGCCACATCAACTTGCTCTGAAAAGGCTTTATTTTTTAGTGGCAGGCCCTCACCAATTTCCCTCCCGAGTAAAGGGTCCCTCTGTGGAGTTTTGACCCCAGCCGATTTTGCAGGTCTTGGCCTTGCGGCGGGAAGACGGAGGTGCAGGAGTCACTGCGGAAGAAAGGCTTCAAGTTGGCCAAAATACGATCCAACCAGAACTCTCCCTTGCACACCACCCACTAATTGAGGCAGCCCTCAAGAAGACTGCGGCTCACAGCCCTCAGAGATCCTCGGCTGGTGCAGTAGCAAGGGCCCAGGAGGTGTGGGGTCCCTGGAAGTCGACAAAGTGTGGGGCTGAACCTAGGAACTCGGAGAATGGGGTCCCTGCAAAACGGCTTTAGCCTCCACACCCTGTAGTGGACTACTCCATAAAAAGAAAGAGAAAATGCGGCGGGGGAAATCTGATCCGGGGCGAATCCAGGAACAAGGTGCAAGCGTGCAGAAAGCATCTGGTTTGCACAGGCGATATCATATGATCCCACCACAACAGCAGGAGCTAAGAAACGAGAATGTTTGTTTGTGCCAAAAGGAAAGCAACAGCGAGGGGTGCGTTATCTTCCAGAATCATGAACATGCCATGCATGACTGCTGTGTGCAGTCAATGCGCTCAGCACCAGAGGTGTTACATAAATGAAACGCAAGCAACACCTACATGGGCATAGTTGAACACAAGGGCTTTTCTTTGCGATGCCAAAAGAAGCTAAAGGAAACTGGCATTGGGAAAACTCGGCTGGATATTAGTTTTGCAAATGTCCACCTTTCTTGGAAAGAGGGTAAACAGGTTCCTGCGCATTTCGCCATGGTTTCCCTTGGTTAAACCGGGGGCTCTCCAGATCTCCAGCGGGCGTCGGGCAACGCGCAGGACTTCCTGCGGGCGGTGTCCTGCCACAAGAGGCCCGCCCGGAGGCCCAGGCTTTGTTTGGTTGGAGCGTACAGGACAGCTGCATGGATATTAATAGAAAGGTAATGAGAAATAAGGAAAAGAAAGATAAAGAAAAGAGATAATAAAATATGAAGATTACAAACATTAAACATGCAAAGGAAATTGCAAATGCCTTGTTTTTCCTTCCCCCGCCCTTTCATTGAGCGGAAACCACTTTTTCTTGCACAGGGAGGCAACCCATGAAGTGGAGGATCGCTTAGCTTTGACAGTAACAGCCAAAAGAAGCCGGCCTGCATCGCGGCAGGTGTCATGCCAGTGTGTTGTGTGTGTGTGTGTGTCTGTGTGTGTGTGTGTTTGCGTGACGTGATTCAGGAATAGGCAGTTCCCAACCGGTGCACACCTGTTTCCCTTTTAAACATGAAGAACATACATGCCTGCATCTACGGAACACATATACAATACATTGCATTTCAATGCATTTACGAATGAACACGCGTTCTTTACAAGCCGGTACAGTCCGTCTACTTGTGCATTGCATTGCCTCGCATGGCATCACATCACATTGAGTCCCTTACCTTGCATTCAACGAATTAATTGCATTACGTATGTATAGCTGCGTGCATACATCTTAGCTCCAGGCCAATTCAGTTGCAGCTTGGGATAGGGTCGCCCACCAGGGCAACATCAACATCAGTTGTCTGGGCATTGAAGGTGGTGCATGTCTGCAATGACCAGTCAAGCTTTTCAAGATAACTCCATTTTCGACAGCCGCATGTGACTGACCTGTATTGCAAGCAAACTCAGGTACACTGCCAATGCTTCCTGTCACTGTCAGCCGTTTCGACGCCACTGGCAGCAGCTGGGCACCCAGCAAACTGAGAGAAGGGCCTCTCAACAGGCGTGCCTCCAACAGGCGTGCCTCCAACAGGCGTGCCTCCAACAGGCATGCCTAGTAGTTATGTGTGCCACGTTGAGAAGTCCGAATAGCTAGTGAGAAGTCCAAGCCGGCATTGTTTGGTGGAAGCCGAATTAGAGCCTGGAGTGCGAGAATGCAGATTGTATGAACATCTTGTCACACAGAATACTGGTTGAAGTGCAGGGGATTGGTGTTGGTGTGCTTGTGAATGATTTGAAGGCTGGGTATAGATAAAGCAATAGGGGATAATAGGGGGTCACGCAAATGAGGGATGGCGGGCGAGCAGAGAAGCTTCTGCAAAGTTCAAAGGAGCCGGTTTGGCTTGATAGGAGTTTGCTTGCTTGGCAGAGCACCTTGATTCATGGAGGTTGTTGCCATGCAGAGCTCTTTTTGGTGACTTGTGGCTTCGAAAACCGCCTGTGTAGCACCTCGTCGGTAGCGCCCCGATGCCAAGTCAAAGGCACTGTACCTACTCACATAGAGGCTTTGAGGCTCCGGTTTGTGTCTGGTAGAAGTCTTTCTCTCGGTGCACTTTTCCGTCAGCGTCCTTCCCTGCGATGTGTACGTACTGTATGCATTCGTATGGCGGGCTGTCAGGCAATGGCGACATGGTTGGCTTCGGCTGGCTGCAGAGCCCTGCCAGCCATCTCAATCCGTGCATGACTCCATTCGTTCATCCGTCCCTCCCGTCCGTCCGTTTGTCCGGTTGTGCAAGCGCATCTTCATGTGTATGGCATTATGTATATATTTATATGCACCCCCCCCATGGACCCTGGTTTTACTGCCTTTTGGGGATGGCAAATCTAAAATCTGAAAAAATGTTTTCTCAAAATGTCCAATTGTGGGTCCCAAAGCCTGATAATTTGGAGCCTGGAGTTCTCCATAATGTCCCAATATGATGCCCTTTCCAAATAGGATTTTACTTCAACTAGAATTGGAATTTTGAATATAGCTTAGTACGGATATAGTTTTCAAAGATGTGTTTATGTTCAATCACAGCTTAAATAAGCAAATCCAGGAGCTACATGAAAATGTAAAAACAATTAGTTTCGAGTAAACTCCAACTAGTCTTTAACTAAAGAAGTTGCATAGTTAAATATAATGTAATACGAACACAATTCAATTAGCTTTTGATGATAACAAGTAAATAGAGACTACTTCTCACATATGATTCATATTACCTATGGCTAAACATTTAAGGGACTTCTAAAAGTAAATTCAACATACGATTTGTGTTGTTTACATTCTCGCCCTTGTGTAGCATAAGAAAGGTCCGACATTGAACTTGTTAGACGGTGTTCCAAAGGGAAATTTCAAGGGAAGAGAGGTTCAAAACCTAGCTCGAAGCATGGATTTTAGCTAAATCAGTTGTATTTCAAGTTTTATTTGCACAGGAAACAAAATTCATTCTGTCTCAAAAGGTGGAGGTAGTAGATGAGCAAATGTGGACAGGTAGTTCAAGAGGGGAGGTGACGGTGTGAGAACATACGTACATATGTATATCTATATATACACATACATACACACACATATAGTATCCCTAGTGATCCTGCGCCTCTTCATACAATACTGGAAAATACCAGTGTTTTGAGCATTACACCTACCTTTGTTTACCTCCTGGAAAAGGGTCAACATGAGCATAGCTTCACCCTAAACCCTAAACCCAAAACCCCAAAACCTCAACACCCCTGTGCATAAATAGGGAGTTGATTCCTCTGAAATAATAATTAATAAATACGAACATATCACTATGGTTAACCTGTTTTCAAGTATGTATAGAGGAACAACTAACAATCTTAAGAGCTTTGATAAATATGGCAGGCCTGTAAGCCTCATGTTCAAAGGTGAAGACTCATACAAAACCTGCTGAGGTGGCTGCACTACCCTCACCAAAAGCACTTGAAAGTTTGTCTAACCAATAACTTGAAAGTGTTTCCACTGGATCGCTAAGCACTTGAACGTATTGTACCACTGGATGGACGATTCAGGATTGAAGATTACACAGAAAACTTTCCTGAGAACTGTCAATCCTGGCCAAACCCAAACAACATTCAAGTTCTTCTAACACTTGAAAGTGCTTTACCACTGGATTGAGAATTCAATATTGAGGAGTGCACAAAAAACAACCTTCCTGAGAATCTGCCATCCTGGCCAACCCCTAAACATGTTCAATTTGTTCTAATACCTCGAACGTATTTTACCACCGGATTGAAGATTCGAGATTCAACTGTTTCACGGAAAGCTTTTCCGAGAATCTTATTGAACACCGAGAGTATTGGAACAACCATTATTTTAATATTATGGGATTCAAGATTCAAGATTCCCAGAACGTATTTTCTCAGATTCATGACTCTTGAATCTTTAATCCATAAAGTGTTAAAAGTCTTTAAAGATGCTGGGATTGAAGATTCAAGATTCCCAGATATTGTTTCTCAGATTATTGAATCTTGAATCTTGAACCCATGTTTTGTTTAACATTTTTTTTAAAGCCAAGCTGAGTGGTTCTTGTACTCTTGGATGCATTCAAACTCTTTCAGATTGCAGATGCTGATGTCATTGCTTTTATCACATTTGTATGCATGCATGCATATCATATGTACATATGCCCCTAATTTTGACACAAAATCCAAGAATAAAAAACAATAAAACACTGGAAAATGCAGGTCAAACGCACCAAACCAGGGTCCATATATATATATATATGTATGTATACCTCCTGCCTTTTACAATGTTGATGCTTGTGTAACGACAGAAGGGCATGAATGTCAGCTCCAGGAGTAGCTTCATTTGTGTGATGATTATCTTGCTCGTGAGCATCGTTGCGCTGTAGGTTTTGGAAAAATGAGGTCAACACGTCAAAAGTCAAAGCCAGAAGTCGTGCCCCTGGGCGCTTTTGGTCAGACTTGTCAAGGGGCGACTTGACACAAGTCCGCGACGCCATAGCATCGATTTCAGGCGGCATATGGTTCCTGGCTTAAGCAGAGCCGCCTTGAAATCGAGAAGGGAACGCTAGAGATGTTTCATTTTGGCTTCAGAAGCAAACCGCCGGGACACCCCCCCGCTTTTTTGAACGGGAGCTGCCAAAGCCTTCTCTTTCTCAAAGCATGTGTGGGATTCGAGCGCTCCGTCTCGAGGTTTCGCCATGTCTGGCGAAGCAGAGTGGCCCGTGCATCAGGACGCGGCGAAGCGGAGTGACCATACATGGACACTAAGGGTTAAGAGGCCATCCTTAGGCGGATACGAAGTCCTTCAGATTTCTCCGATGTCTCTGATGGTGGTTTCTTCTTCTCTTATGTTGTTTTTGTTGTAAGAGAGCTGTTTTGCGTGTCGTGCTCTTTCGCTTGAACCCAAAATCGGCACTCGCTTGTTTGGCTGCCGTGCGGGACGCGTGCAGCCTCGGCTTTCATTGGCATGACAGTTGCTCGACGGCAAAATGAAAGACGCAGCACGTCACTTATTTTGTGTGATGGCTTGAAGTTGCTTTGTGCCTTTCTTTGAACATAGTCAACATGCAGGCCCCAATCAATTAGATCCTGTGATGATTAGTTTGGTGCTGGATTCTGCGACCCTTTTAATGGGTACCTGGGCGACAATGAAATTGTTAGGCACAATTGTGTTGTCAGTTTGAGTACTTTCAGGATTGGAGTTGAATTTGCTCATTTTAACAGCATGCTGGAACCTTGGATTGAAGTCAAGCAGACGCCTGTTTGCACTGCCAACAGCCTCATGTGCTGTGTGCAGCTGGAGGTTGTCGCAAGCTGATTTGGTTGAGTAAGAGGCCTTACACCTTTGTGTCCACAGGTAGCACCAAAATACGCGATTGGTTTACGACCAAGCGGCTTGAACTTCAGACCAAGCACTGGGCAGCACAGGTTGTTCTTTGCGCGCTACAAAAACGAGGAGTGTAATTACGGCAGAGCAAGGGGCCAAAATGGCAAAACACTGATCAGGGTACCCCTATTAGGAGACAAACCCATGTGTTCCCGGATGTTCTGTAGGTTTCACAACGCTTGCGGAAGATATTCAAGGCAAACTATCACGGACGTGTTTGGTAGGTTTCGCGCACACTCTCATCGCCACATCAGGACAGCAGCGTCCACACCACCTCCTTTCCGCAACGCATGCGCTAGCAGTGACGCAGTGGCCATATTTCTTGGGCACAGCCAGCAGTCCCTTCGATTTGGATTATCCGGTTGATTCTTTCAAGGATCACTCCATAAAATCATCATGTTCGTGCATACATGTGGTTGCAATCATGCCTTGCAAGGTGGGTGTGATTCATTGTGGTCTTGCTTCAGACTGTGATCCTTCCACAGCCAGAAAGCGTTTCAATGTCAAGCACATACTTTCATTAATTTATCACGCGTGATTGCGTGGCTTATTGTTTTTATGTTTGTTGCATATTAATCAGATTGACGGGTGGTGTTGCTTGGGGTGCAGACTCAGCGAAAGTTGAGAGACAGCAAGATAGACAGATAGAGTGGGGATAACAGGTTTGCAGCTCAAAGTCCGGGCAAGCACAGAAGAAGGGACGCTGTTGCCAAGCTGCATGTCTCGATTTTGCGGCAGGAATGGCGAAGGCACATCAGTTTGGGGGTGGCATCTGTGTGTGTTTTAGTGAGGAAAGGGAGACATACGGGCTGGAAGTCGTGTATTGCTGTTGCTGTGAATGGTGAGCATGTTGTTGTGCAGAGGAGTGGCTTTTGAATGGGCAGGGATCTTAAATCAATGATGCTTACAACATGAATGAATGTGAGTGAGAGGGGAATGCAACTCTTGCAGGATTGATTTGGACAAGGCCCTTCACCATTCCCGCCTGCTCGATATTTGCTTTGAACTCGCCATTTGCAAGGTTGAACTTGCCCAATTTTGGACAGTCTGCCACAGCCATGCCGTCATTTTGTGAGGCACCTCTGCTTGTGTTGGCTGCATTGCAAGCCATCCTAAGCAGTTTGTGGAAGTGAGAGCCAGTGTCAGGTTGGCGGCCTTCTCAACACACCTCATTTACTTGATGAAGCATCGCTGATCCGCCCTTTTTTGGGCGCTGCAATCATGAGACTAGCAGCAGTGAGCAAGCAGCAATGTCCGATGCAGCAAGACTGATAAGCATGTTGGCTTTGAGCCTGAGACGACAAAAGTTGTGCGCGGCGTTTCAGTCTGTGCATAGGCTACGAACTCGCAGGCGTCGATGCCTGTGGCAGGCACTGAGCTGCCATCCTGCAAGCCCCAGTCACTCAATTTGCCTGGGGCTGGTGGGTTTTCTAAGAGCGCAGATGCGCACGCGGAGGACCGCAGTGCGCGAATTCGAGTTGCACGCGCTTTGAGCTGCTTGTCGTGCACTGCACCCGGCAAAGCCTGAGCAACGGCGCATCCGAGGCAACAGGTCATGGGGAAAGGGGTAGTGACAATAGCAGTTGCCATCAGTCCACGGTGAATTTGGAGTCTTGTCCAATTTCTCAGAAAACGGTCGCATTCTGGGATTCATATTCCCCGCAAGCCCACCCTAAATCAGCTTAACATAATATGGTTATATTAAGCCCGTGAAACCAACCGTGTGGAACCAGCCCATGACCACCCCTTTCAAAGCTCCCTAAAGCAGCCCATGCGACTGGAACCAATTTGCACAAACACGTGCGCAGGGAAACCTTCAGATCAATGCCAGCTGGGAAGGGGGCACTCCTACTTTTGGGCGAGCGGGAACACAGCATTGTTCGCCCTGCAGCTATACAAGTCAAAACGTGCAATCACACCACGCAGATGCAGTGCAGGATCTAACCTGTGGGTTCATACCAGCCTCGCGAAAATCCAAGTGTTTGCAAGGTCTCTCCAGCATTGTTCTTGCCAGCTCTGAGTCTCTCCCAGTTGAACGAGGAGGCCCCGCAAAGCCAAGTCCACAAGGAGCTCGCGTCGGGACTCGTGGCAAGGTACCTGCCGCGCCTGCAGGGGGAGTCGGAGCTTCTGAGGGAGATGGAAGGCCGACGGGCGGGGGGGCCAGTTCAAAGGCAGTGGTCTTGCGGCCTGTGAGTTTGAATCAATGAAGTAGCATGAATCGAACATGATGGCTGGCATGGAATGTAGTATAATATGAACACAATATGATAACATGATATGGTAAAGTATCAACAATATATGTATATGTACATATATATATATATGTGTAGGATTTCTTTGCAGGGAGCAGACATCCTCCCCGCGCTGGGATAGGCGTTGAGGCCGTGGTGCTTCTCGCCCGGCACAGCGCCTGCGAGCAATGCGTCGAACCCCCGGCAGAAGTTCTCGGACGGAACGCGGGGCTGGGTCGCGACTGAGCGGATGTTCCCCTCCCATTCGAGTTATAGGATTTGTGGCGTGGAATCATGCGCATGAGCATGTGTATTCATTTTTTGCATTTTGCCAAGGGATGTTGGGACTGAAAACTTTTGCCAATGGGGTTTCCATTCAACTACCAAAAGTCAAACTTGTAGCAGGGGAGCAGAAAGCAACCGTGTATTGTGGTGATGCGCATGTGTGTTGCACTTAGTGCGCAAGGGTGGTGTGGGGCTTGGGCCTGCGCATTGGCAGGGGGTGTGCTTAGATCTGGACAGCCCTGGGCCTGAGGCGAGTAATTCTGATGCGCTCAAACTACGCTACTATACCTACTATTCCATGCTATACCTTGATTCATGCAAAATAGGTTCATGTGAAGTGCCTATTCGAGTGCGAAGCAAGGGGTGAAGCTGCCAACAGTCACCTAATTATTTGAATTTGTTGGTGTGTTGGATCGTAGAGATGCAACTGATGTCCCGGGCTTCGCTTGAAGCGCTCGGCCAGGTGGCAGACAAGACCTTCGCTGAAGCCGCACGGAAGGCCAGGATGCTTGGGATCTTAGCTTAGCAGATTTTATTTTGGTATGACCCTGGCTGATGCTTTTGAGGGGCAGAGTCAAGGAGTCAAGCTGGCTGACCGTTTGCCTGTGTTTTTGTTGGGGTGACAGAGCTTTTGAAAGAACAAGTTGCTTAGTTTACCCCGTGCAGCCAATTGAAATGTCAATGGGCATGTGGCTTGGAGTGTGATAGTTTTTGCACCAGGCATCCAGACCAGAAAGTGGGTTTGTTCGAATGTTTGTACTGATGATTGGAGGGCTTAATTTCACCTCTCCAACTCAGGAGCATGCTTGCCGCCGCGTTGCTGCTGCACAGATGGATTTCGTGCTCAGACAAATATTCTCACATTTGGTCATGCTTACTATTTTTTGTCGCATCAAGGAAGAGCCACACTGCAATTGTTTCTGTCTTTGTATGTTATGAAGAGTTTATATTTCTTGAAATGCTTTATGAACTTGAGGGTGTGTGATTTCTTGACAGTTGAGTCTTCTGAGTTTAGTAACTTCGACAGTTTTGCTGTTTGCACGCAGACTTGCTGAGCGATTTCGGTCTACAATTGCCCTTGGGAATTGTCCCTGGCGCACTACGCAGGTGCAGCAAGGCGCGAAAATGGAGGAGGCTGGGAGGGAGGTTCCGCTCATTGGCGTAAGAGTTGTGGCAGTGCAACAATTGCAAGCGCAGGCTTCTGACGTATGCGCAATATATGCGGCCGCTCCTTTCAAAGTCAAGCACCCTTGGCCACTTTGAACGCTGCGGATACACTGATTTGTTCACTGCTAAACAGGGAGGGATACGGTCTCCCAGTTGATTGAGGCAGCCGTAGGGTCCACTCAGGGATACATGTTCCGTGTCCTTTGGGCTGGGAAGATGGGGCAAGGTGAGTCGAGAGTGGTCAACGATTCTGCTGAGCAGCTGAGCCCTTTCGGGATGCAACGTTGGCAAAGATGCGCAGGGTAAGGAGGTTGCTGTTTCCATGTGACATTGTGCGAGTCTCGAAGATGGGCACATGTTGCGTTTCTTCAAGGTACTCCTTTTCAAACCACCACAACGAGGCTGTCTTAGATTGAGTATTACTTCAATTCCAACCAGTGAGTAACAAACCAAGCAACCCAGCAACATGCCGTGTGTTATTCGACAATGTGTTTTGAGCGAAGGCAATAACTTTCATTGAACAGATTGCCTCTCAGGGCCCTGGTCATGCACCCGCTTCTGAAGAGTGAGCCACAGGTAAAGTAGAGTTTTGAAAGGCCCTTAGGCAACAGCAATAGGGAGTGTTCAAGATGAGCTTTGCTTGCAGGAGGCCCTTTGTTGAGCGCCTGCTACACTTTACTTTATGGAGCGGGCAGTTTTGTTCATGGAAGGGGGACCAAGTTTCTCTTCAAAAGGGTTGGTGTAATAGCTAAAAAGCGTGTCTATTGATTTTCCCGCGAGTGGCCGGTTCCTTTTTCTTCATGTGTCCCTTGTCTCCAATGTATTTCCAAATACTGTTCTGCAACATTTCCTCAATGAACTCCAGAAAACAAGAATGGGTGGGGGGAGGTTCCTCAGGCTTCTCCAAAAGCATCGAGTTCCTTCCACCGAGAGCATCCCGGCCGCTGACTTTTGGTCCACAGGTCTGGCGTCGCCTGAAGCTCTTTGTGGCGGAGCTGCCCAAGGCTCGGCTCCTGGCGCGGCGCTTGGGCCCGGAGCTCCAGCCTTCGCGCGGTGTGAAGACGGCCGTGGCGCGGAACTTGCGAGCCAGGGCGAGTTTGGCGGATTTACGAAATCCACCCAAAGCCAAGATAACAGAAAGAAGAAGGCTGTTTTGGGGTTGATCCATTTAGGAAGTTGGTTTTGGTGGTGGGGCTTTGCGCCTTGGTTTCCCTTGAAAACCATCCCGTAGATACCTTCGAAATCTGGCATGAAAGCGCTTGGAAAGGCCGAGTCAAGACTGGTAAGTGCAAACCATGAAGGCAAAGTTGAGAATGCTGTTGATTTTGGAGATAGGCGGTTGACTGGGGAGAGGCGCGGCTATTCTTCAGCAAGCCCAGGCAAGGATGTTCTCCATGTTCACATCACCACTTGTAGCCTGCAACAGTGTAACCATAGGTGGGGATAGTTTCCAAACCAGCCCAGGACAGCCAAGGGATCAGCCGAGAATGAGACAACACAAGGAGAAGCACGCAATCACGCCGCAATGATTCTACTTTTCTAAGCTGTCAGCCTAGATGTGAGCGATTCTTCATGTGCTTTCGTACTCGTGTAAAGGCAAGGCAGCTTGTCCTTACCATGAATCAAGTATTCCCCAAGTTCCAGCACA